CTCCGCGTCTCCCCGCCCTGCCGGCCACAGCCTTCGGCTCCGGCTGGGGCTCCACGCCGGGACCCTCCTCCCATCCTCCTCTGGGCCACCCCGGCGGTCCCCACCCCAAGCCGACGGAGAGGTAGGAGCCCAGGCAGGTGAGTGACTGCGCCCCCGTCCCAGGGGAAGGGCGTGCGAACTCTGAAGTCCCCTCTGGACTGGAGTCTGAGCCCACTGAACGGGGAGTGGGGACCCAGAGAGACTGAAAGAGAGGTGCCAACGGGGTGGGTGTAGTAGAGGGGCCCAAGGGGTTGGGCTGCCAGGTATAATGAAGCAGCAGGTACAGGACCAGCGAAGGAGGCTGCTTCCAGAGCCCCTGCTGCCACTGGCGAGTCCAGGGCAGCCTCCACCTGCTCTCCCCTCCCAGGGCTGGCGGGACAAAGAGTCCCATCCTCTACTTGGCCGAGGGGAGCTTTAAGAGCACCCACAGTGGAGTCAAGGCCGCCGAGTTGGAATCTCTGCTCTGCTCCTTACTAGCTGTAGGTTCTTCATCAAGACACTTAAACTCTGTGCCTCAGTTTCTCATTTCTAAATACATAGTGCCTACCTCATGGGGGAGTTGTAGGCTTAGATGAGCAAAAGCTTGTCTCCTGGTCAGTGTTTATTTTTAGTGTTTGAGGAGGCCTAGAGAAGGGACCTAGGTTTGCAGATTTTGGGTGCTCAGAGCTTTGCCAGTTTTGAGGACTTAGTTAGTTGACCTAAGGTCTCAGGCACCTGGGTCCTCCAAGTGCTCCATGGGCTTGGGATAGTCTCAGGTAGTGCTAATAGCAAGACTGGTGTATGTGTGGGGTTGAGGTTGGGCGGGGACAGGTCCAGCTTCAGGAGCCCAGTCCCCAGCAAGGCCATCCCTCACCCCCCATCTCCAGCCTCCAGTAGTAGACTCTCTGCTCTCCTGGCCTTTTATGAGTGGCCTCTCCCGGGGCTGGGCTGGGATCCCAGTCCCTGGGGATGGGAACAGCTTGTGCCGGCCTGAGGTTCCCAGGATCAGCCAGACCTCAGCTCCAGGCAAGATTGGGCAAGGGGTCAGCTCGGAACCCTGGCCTAAGGTGGGCCTGGGGGGCAGGGAGCTGTTCTCTGAACCCCATCCTACCCCAGTCCACAATATAGGACCTGTGTGTGCACATGTGAGACAGGGTGTGGGCTCAGCTCTCCCGTCTCCTGTCCTCTGTCCCCTGCTGCTACCTCTCCCACTTCTGAGGTCTCCCAGAGCCTACCCATTGTACTTGCTGCTACAGTTGGGGCTGCCTTTCTGCCACCTAGGAGCTGGCTTGGTGGCCAGGCTCACCTCTCTGGCTTCCCCTCCACTGGGAGGTGCAGCCTGCGGTTGGCATCAGTTTCTGCACTGCCGCCACCCCCCACCAATCCCTATCAGACTTTCCCAGAAGGGGAAACTCCAGGCAGCCCCTGCACCAATCGGAAACCTGGATAGAGATACAGGTCACTGGGCTCTGTCTGCCTCCCACAACAACGTGTGCTGCTGGGAGGGGCTGAGGCCAGGCCAGGCCTCCACCAAGGTGCTCCCCAGCCTCTCCTCTCAGGAGCCTTGGAAGCCTCGAGAAAGAGGACTCCTGCGACACTGAGGGGCTCTGGGGCCCATTCTAACTGGCTCCATTCCTGGCACATGAACTTTGGGGAGAAGCCAGCAGGAGGAGGAAGAGAAGGCAGGGAAGGAGAAAGACAGAGATATAGAGACATAAATATGGAAGCCGAGAAAGAGACTTAGAGACTCTGGAACCAACAAGGCCCGGGGCAGGGGTGTGGGGGAGGCCAACTTAGAAAAACAGAGCGGAGACCTAGACGAAGAACAGGAAGGAGGGGGAGACAGCGGAAAGACGGAGAGTCAGAAGACTGAAAAGAAACCACTGGGAAAGGGCCTAAAAGGGACTGCACAGGCTGGTCCAAACCCGGTTATAGGCCTGGGACAAATTCCTTAGCCTTCCTGGAATATTTCTTCACCTACAAAATGGGAGCATGATAGCACCTGCTTTCTAGGATTGCTGAGAGCACGAAAAGCAAGGATCTACCCACAGTACACATTTAACAAGGGGTAAGTGACTGGTATTTCATCCCCCGCATATGGCAAAAGAGACGTCTCCAGACAGGAACAGCATGTGGGTGGGCCCTGGGGACTCCTGGGTCCCCTCTCCTGCCTCTGTCCCTCCCCCTCCAAAGTAATGGCATCTGGAGCCTAGTCCCTCTATTTAGGAGGAGGTGTGGATGGACAGTGAGGGGCGTTGTCCCGGCACTGGAGGTGCACACCCCCTCCTCTTCAGGTGACTCAGTGCCGTTCTACTATGGTGCACTCATCCCATAGGAACTTGGAGGCCGGCCCTGAGGAATTCCTGCTGGAGGTCAGGGGGTCAGATCTAGAGGTGCCTTTCACTTTGTAACAATGGAAGTTCTTTCTGGAATTCCACCTTCCATCATTGTGCCAATGCTGTGTCTTGAGGGCCCTGAAAGGAGGGCCTAGTTCTGCTGTCTACTGAGTCAGGGAGAAGCCACAGCCTCCAAACACATCTCTCTCCCTCTCTCCCTCTCTCTCTCTCTCTCTCTCTGTCTCCCCTCTCCCCCCTATTTCCCACAAAGTAAGATCAAGTCATACTGGGGAAGGAAGGTTTTCAGGGTTTATCAGCCCATCCACTGCACACAAATGTTTAATTACAGTGGCCGGGTGCCAGGCATCCTGGTGCATGCATGTAGTGCTGGTGGTGCTGGTGATGTGGTGGAGAGGGAGGCAGAGAAGGACCCTGACCCCATATAGCTCCAGTGGGGAAGACAGACCTTAACAAAAACATAATGACTATGGGATGGGAGTGAACATCCGGGGGGCAGTCGACCCACTAATGGATCCTAGGAGAGCAATTAGATTGGAGGGGGGTCCCAGCCTGTGGGAAACCAGACTCACAAACTGGCAATTACAAGTGGGGTCTCATCAACTTATCAGTCCATCAGATTTCAGGTGTTCCAGAGGCTGTGAATTTCTGGATTGGCCTGGGTTAGTCCCATGTGCCCCCAGAGGAAGGATACCAGTGCCAAGCCTTTGGCTGGGGTCTCCGGAAGTATTGACCCATATACAGTTTGGAGCTGGCCTTAGGGAAGAATTGAGAGAGGACACCCCAGGTCTCCTTCAGGCAGGGGGACTGGGGGCCCCTGTGGTGATGAGGGCAGGGAGGAATAGATGAGGTCTGGAGTCACTGAAGGGGCTTCCTAGAAAAGGCCACCTGAAAGGATGGGTAAGACCTGGGCATTTCAGGGTGGCCTGGGCAGAGGAGGCTGTGAAGTGAGAGGCATGTGGGGGCAGCGTACTGTCCAGTGTGATGGGAACACAGGGGCAGAGGCCATGAGGCTGGACATCTGGTGGGTTTGCCCCTGGGCGCCCTTTCCTGTGGTGTGGGGAGCCACAGAGGGTGTTAGAGAGGGGCGATGGCCAGAGCAGAGCTGTACTTTCTGAGGGTATCTGGGAGTGGCAATGAGCACCCATTGGTGGTGGGCCAGAGGGGAGCTTTCCACTGGAAAGAGTTGCTCCCTGGACTGTGTCAGCCCATGGTTTACTCTCCACCCACTACTTTGTTTTTTTGAAGATGTTAGTCCTGCAGTTGCCTCTGACAATCCATCAGTCCTTGGGCAAGTCATTTTATCTGAGACCCCATCGTCTCACCTGTGAAATGGGCATAACAGTCACTAGCACCTATGGGTGGTGGCTGGTGGCAAGGGTTGGGACTGGCACTGGCGCCAACCTCCAGTAGGCGTGGAGATGTTTGATGAATCAGAATCCCTGCAGTTTCCCTATTTCCTGATGAGTAAACAGGTCAGACAGAGGACCCTCTAGCTTCTGTTTCCTGAGCCACAGAGAACACAAGGCCAGCCCCTCACCCCTGCTCCCTTCCCGCCTGGCCTCTGGCACGCACACGAGCAGGCTTCCTGTCCCTCCATCCGGCAGACAGGCCTGGCCTGGCTGGATGTAGGAGGGGCTCCGTGCTTGCGTGTGCAAGCGGGTATGTGTGTGCACTGAGTGGCATGTAGAGCTGGGTCAGAGCGCATCCCAATGTGGGGAGGGAGGGGGAGCCTTCGGATTGAGATCTCACTGAGTGGGGAAGACTAAAGGATCCTGTCTCTATGGTAAAGATAAGTTAGGAAGGGGTGCAGAGAAACCAACAAAGAGACGGGGAGAGAGACAGAAAGACGAGAGAGATACAAGGAAGGCAGCCTTGGCACCAGGCTGAGATGGCTTAGTGACAGGTTCAGCGTCCGCCTCACACTTGAGGGCAGATTCCCCAGTGCGGTGACCCTGCTACAGGACGTGACTGTGCTGCACCATGGTACCTGGCAGCCTCTTGGAGGAGGGAAAGAGAGCAGAGGGGAAGGAGAGCGGCAACGAGACAGAGCCCACGAGGCTGGCGGAGGAAGACAAAAAGGGAGAAAGCAGAGTTTCTGGTGAAGAACTAGATGAGAGGAAATGGAAAGAGGCAGAGGTCTGGGGCTTGGGGTTCTGATTCTGCACGAACACACGCACACTGAGCAGCCCCTGGCCTGAGGCTCTGGTCCAGGTGGCCACTGGAACCAGCAGCTCCAACCCTCACTGAACCCTGCGAGATGTGGGGGCTATTCTCCCATTTTACAGATGAGGAAGTAGAGTCTCACGGGGCTCAACTGCTGTGCCTGAGGTCACACAGCTTGTGACAGCTTGTAAGTACTAGAACCTTTGGACTCCAAGATGGGAAAGGAGAGAGAGAGAGGACACACATGCAGAGAAGACGGGCCAGCAGAACCAAGCAAGGAGTTGGAGGTGGTTCTCAGGCTGAGGGCTGGGCAAGCAGAATCCAGGCAACCTGCTTGTCATCCACCTTTGGCGGTCAGCCTATTATTCTGGGGGATCAGGTCTGGGGCAATCAGGGCAGGCCCTGACCCCCACTTCTTTTCTCTCTGTCAGCATCTAAGGCTGCATTCCTATTCCTGGATTATCTTGGGGATTCTTCAGAAAAAACAAGGAACAGCTTTTCCTGGAATTAATACTCAAAAGGCATGACAGTGCCAAGGGATATGGGGATGGGTGCAGGACTGAGACCGCTAATGTTAACTGAGCATATTATACGTGGGCTCTAAGTGCTTTATCTGTACTAACTCATGCTTTGTTCTGCACAACAACCCTACCAAGGGAAGTACTCTTGTCCTTGTCACCCAGGCTTGAGCGGGTGTGTGTGTGTGTGCAGAACTCAGAGGGTATCCTTTGCTGCATCACCTCCCAGAGACGAGGAGGTGGGAGGGACCGGTGCAGAAGTTCCCCTTGCTGTCTTACTTCCAGCAGCCCCACTCTTGCTGTTTGCTTTCTAAAGAAATGGATCATCTGTCCACTAGGAACTCTGCCCCCTCCCAGAGGCCTCAGACTCATTCCTCTCCTCCTACCAGGGGCTGTGGCAAAATGAGGGTAAGGGACCCCCCACTGGAGGAAATCAGGCTGAGCTTGGAGAAGAGCAGGAGAGGATGAGCTGGGTTGGGCCCTGTGTGGGCTTGGGGGTGGAGAGGGCAGGGATGCTGGGGGCTGTGCAGACAAGACTGGGGACTGGGGGCTGGCTGGGAGCCCAGCTGCTTTGCATCTCGAGGTGGAGGAGAGAGAAGTGTCAGCTCATTCTTGACTGTAAACACATCCCGGTTCCCACGCCTCTGATCATGTTCTTGCTGCAGCCCCCACCCCCATCCCCTTCTCCTGCCAGGCTTCTCCCCTCCCCATAACTGAGGCTATTAAAAAGAGATACAAAGCCCCTGGGATTCCCGCCTGGACTCTGAATAGACTGGAACCATTGGGAAACTTCTGCCAGCTCTGATACTACTGGCTGTGTAGCTTTGAGCAAGTGACTTACCCTCTTTGTGCCTGTTTCTTTATCTGTAAAATGAGTAATAGCACCTACCACAGTGGACAGACATAAGCTTTAAATAAGATGATCCATGTAAGTCGCTCAGCACAGTAGCCGATGTGTGGAGTCATACTGTCATTCTTGTTGGGAGGGGAGGTGTCTGGGTCGCTCAAACCAGAGATACAGTGGAGGAAGGGGGATAAGTGTGGGGGGGCATCAGTATGGGACGAAGCAGTGGGGAATATTGGGGGTAGGTCTTGGTGAATGAATTGAGGGCCCCTGGGGTGGGTTTGTGGTACCAGTAGTTGTCTGATTTAAACCCCTTGAGGGGCTCATGTAACCACATGGGCCCAATGCTGCTGGGACTGGAGGGGGCTGGGAGAGAGTGGTCCAGGGCCTCAGGTGCCCTTGAGCCTCAGGAACAGAAAAGCTCCAAAGGGAATAAGCCTGGGAAGCCAGGCTGGTGCTCTGGGCTCCTGGTCAGGTCAAACTCTTCCCCTCCCTGCCAGGCTCCCCATCCCCCATCCCCCTTCCTGCTGACTACCCACTGGTCTCCCAGACCCCACTCTGGCTTCCAGCCCCAATACCAAGCAGCTGAAGCTTCCCCTGCACTCCAGTCCTACCACGAGGCCCTTTGGGAAAACAGAATCTCTTCACCCTCCAACCAGCCACCTTTTGGCCATGAGAGCCCAGCTATCCTTATGCTCCCCTGCCTGCCTCCAGGTCTCTCTCAGAGCCCCCCGGAGAACCATTTCCTCTAGAAGTTGGTTAGAGGAGGTGATGGGGGGGCTGCTGATATGAATGTAGGAAGGACGTTCAGTGGGCCAAGAGTCCAATCTTCACGGCCCCTCCTCCTGTGCCTCTGCTCAGATGGTTCCTGCTGCAGGTTTTTTCCACCTTACAGGGGTCTTAGACTGGGGACAGATCCTGGCCAGGGGAAGCCTGGGGTCCCGGTATGGCTGGAGACAAGGCTTACCCAGGGATGGTCCTGGATCCCGACAGATTAAGTTCCAACCTGAGGACAAGGGCCCCATGCCAGGGCCACAGTGGGGGTCCAGTAAGAGTGGAATGTGGAAGGGGGAGATGTGTGGAGGGCTCAGGGTCCTGTCCGTGGCCCTGGCTGCTGAGCACTCAAGGGAGAAGTGGGAGAACGTGAGCTGGGAGCAGACAGGGCGAGCCCTGGAGGTAGGCACTGGACCTGGGAAGGAGGCTAGAGCAGGGCAGGGGCAGAAGGAGTAGTTTGGGGACGTTGGGAGAAGGAGCCAGCTGTTTGGGAGGGGGATGGCAGCATGTGTGGGGCAGGCTGTGGGGTGGTGCACCAGGACAGGCTATGGGATCTGAAGGACACTACTGGTCTCTGAGGACAGGCTGAGTCGCCGCTCGCTCGCCCACTCAGAGTGAGCCCCAGTGCTCAGCTCAAGAGACAAGTCACTGGAAAGAGGCTTCTGGCCTTGACACCCTCATGCCACCTTCTGAGTTGAGGGCAGTGGGAGGATGGAGCCACCCCACTCCCTGCTGCCCTCCCCCAAATTCACACATTCTAGCTGGTCTCCATTTCCTGTTTTCAGGCTCCATATCCTGAGCACCAGGATCCCCCAGGACGCCCTCTGTCCCCTCAGGCCTTGAGGACACGTTATCGGGTTCACCTGAATTTCTCAGGTCTGGATGCTGCTGTAAGGACCTGGTGAGTTACTGGCAGTGAGTTACATGGGGACCAGAGGCGGAGATTTGCCTCCAGGCGGCTGTGATGGGACGACTAGCCAGAGTGGTGGGGCGGCGGTACTGTGCTGCAAGACTGGAGGGCGCTGGGTAAAGATTTTCAGTGGCAGGGAGGCCACCTGGGAGGAGAAGTGGGCTTCCTGTGGGGATACTCCCATCGGAGGAGACTGGGTGAGTCAGGGAGCACATCTCTTGCTCTAAGACCTGGGGGGAAGGAATGCTGCCCAGACTGGAGCTGAGAGCAGCTGGGGGGCCCCTGGGAGTGTGTGGGTGGGGGGCACAGGGTGGGACCAGGCATTATGCATTCCAGAGATACTCAGGGGTATAAGGGGCCAGTAACCGACCTTTCTGCTCCCAAATCACAAGCAGATGTGGGTGCCTCAGGGAGGAGCAGAGCAGGAACCAGGGCGTTTTGGGAACGTTAAACATGGAATCTGAAACCAGCAGTGGGGGTGGCCACTCAGCAGCTCAGCCTCCCTGACTGAGCTCCGAGCAGAACAAACTCATCTGAGTCCTGACCCGCTTCCCACCCACTGGGTGAGGCCAGGGGTGGGGGAGATGGAGAGGAGTCCATTTCCAGATGGCTGATGGGGTGACCAGAGGATAGGGCAGTCTGCTAGTGGGGGTCGAGGAGCAGAGCAGAGAAGGAGGGGTGGCATTTGGGGCTAGACCTTGAAAGGTGAGTACTCACGGTGAAGGATGGAGGGAGGCAGGCTAGGCAGAGGAAGCAGAGTGTGAAAGGCTCAGAGACAGGCACACGACCCAGTCAGGAGCGAGGCCTGAGGAGCTGGGGCCAGGGAGCATGGGGCCGGAGACAAGAGGCAGCAGCCTCTTCTCTTCTGCCTCCCTTGCTCAGGTCTCTGCAGAGACCTGGTCCTCTAGGCTTGTGGCTGCAGTGCCCCTCACCGGCCATGTCATGTCACAGGCCTCTGCGATGTCGTCACCTCTGTGCTCCCTCCTTCTGGCCCTGGGCCTGAGGCTGGCTGGAACTCTCAACCCCAATGACCCCAATACCTGCAGCTTCTGGGAAAGGTGAGAGGGGCCCCTGCTGTGCCTTGAGGGCTCCAAGCCCCCAGCTCCCCATTCTCCCTACTAGGGCTCCCCTTACCTCCCTTCCTCTCTCCAGCCTTCACCTCCCTCCAGTTTCTGCTTCTGCTCTCTCTACTCCCTCCATGGGCTGCCTCTGACTTCTCCCCATCTCAGACCTTGTCTCAATCTCCATCCCAGCTCTGACCCTGTCTGTCCTTTCTTTATCCCAGTGCCTTGGTTTTGATGGGAGTCTGGCTGCAGGACAGGCCACAGGGTGGGAGTCATTTTCTGTGTGTGGGGCAAGCAGAGGGGCAGGCCTAGGGGGAGCAAGAAGGATAGGGTTGGGATTTGGCCAGAAATGCTTCAGCCCACATCCATCAGCTGGGCCCAGAGTCAGCTATAGCTCAATCTCCCTGCATGGAAAGAGGAGGAAGGAAAAATTGGCAGCTCTGGTCCTTATATGGTGAGAAGGGGGCTCTGATGGGGGTGTCCCAGGAATATCCTAATTCTGGGAGCATCCCTTCAGATTGGGGGGCAGGATGGGGATCCATCCTAGGCTTGAGGGAACAAACCCAAATGTTGGGGTGGTGATTCCCCACTGTGGCCAAGCTTCATACACCTGCTTCCCATGGCACCTGTGCCAGCTCAGGCCTCTCCCCGCCCTGGGCCCCTGACCCTTTCCTGTCTTGCAGCTTCACCACCACCACCAAGGAGTCCCACTCTCGCCCTTTCAGTCTGCTCCCCTCGGAGACCTGCGATCAGCCCTGGGAGAGCCCTCACACCTGCCCTAAGCCCATGTGAGTGCCCTGACCCCCTCTGTGGGCAGTGGGTGCCTCTGCTCCTACACACCCTCATTGTCTCCTCAGGACCTTTAGAGTTTAGAGGAAGCAGCTGGCCACCAGGCACTCAAGGGGTGGGGTGTTCTCCGCTCTCCCTGCCCAGAGTGCTGGACAGTGCCCCAGGCCTCCCACAGCGCTGCACTGGGTGAGGGAGCCCTGCAGCAGGGAGACTGAGGGCCCTTCTGGGTCCCCCCAGGGTTGTCTACAGGACTGTCTACCGCCAGGTGGTGAAGACGGACCACAGAAAGCGCCTTCAGTGCTGCCAGGGCTTCTACGAGAGCCGTGGGGCCTGTGTCCGTGAGTCCTGGGTGGGGCGTGGAATGGGAGGGCTTGGTCCACCCTTTGTAGTCAGTCCTTCCCTGCATCTTCCAGGGCAGGGCTACTCCTCTGCCCTTTGGGCTTTCCCCCTCCTCCCACTCACCTGGCTTTTTCCCTAGGGACACAGCTGCCAATTTCTACCTCTGCCTCCCTGACCCCATGTTTCCCCATCCCCTCTTCAAGTCCCTCAGCAGCCTCTGTCTCTGCATCTCTCTTTCCAGAGCTCTCCCCGTCTCCCGTCTGCCTGTGCCTCTGTCGCTGTGTATGGGGGCTTGGTATCTGCATCTGTCTCTGTCTCTTCCTGTCCCTGTCTCCCTGTTGCTATCTGCTCTGACTTGTTGCTGTTCAGTCTCTCCTGCCCCTCCTGCCCCCTAACACCCTGAAACCCCCAGACTGGGGCCTGCTCTGCCTTTCTTCCCTTTCCTCACCTCTGGCCTGTCATCAGCCTCTGCCAAGCCTGATCTACCCTGGACCCCCACTCTCTCTCTGGATAGTACCCATGTCTAGTTGCTACCTGAGAAACCCTCTCCCTGTTTTCTCAAGGTGCCTCGAGAATTTCACAGGAAGGGACTGGGGAGCCCGGAATCAGCTCTTGTCAAGCTCTGACCTGAGTTGCTGCCCCGGTCTTTCTGCATGTTAGAGGCAGAATTGCTGCTTAGAGAACCACGGGTCCCGGTGTGGGAGGAAGAAGGGGTTGGGCTTCAGAGGATGAAGGTGGGTGAGGGCAGGGTTGCAAGCCTCTTCTCACCCCTATCTCTGCCCCAGCACTTTGTGCCCAGGAGTGTGTCCATGGCCGCTGTGTGGCACCCAATCAATGCCAGTGTGTGCAAGACTGGCGAGGTGACGACTGCTCCAGTGGTGAGTGGCTGGTGGTGGCAAGGCCTCCGGGCACACCCTCCTTACCAGGGCACAGGTGCTTATTAGGACCCCAGGGTAATTATCTACCCAGCGCCCCTTTGGGATGTGCTCTATGTTGCCTTTTCCAGAGATGTGGTACAGAATTTGGGACAAGCCAGACATGGGCGTATATCGGGGCTGGGAGGCAGAGACAGGGATTAACTGGAGGCTGGGGAGTGTTGAGACTCCTGGTGACCTCCTTCCACCCTTCTCATCTCACAGCGTGTGCCCCAGGAGTGTGGGGGCCACAGTGTGACAAGCCCTGCAGCTGTGGCAACAACAGCTCCTGTGACCCAAAGAGTGGGGCATGTTCCTGCCCCTCTGGTTTTCAGCCCCCGCACTGCCTTCAGCCCTGCTCCCCTGGCCGTTATGGCCCTGCCTGCCAGTTGAGCTGCCAGTGCCATGGGGCACCCTGTGACCCCCAGACTGGAGCCTGCTTCTGCCCCCCAGGGAGAACTGGGCCCAGGTGTGTAACAGGGGACAAGCATACTAATGGGATCAGACACAGGACCACACAGGCATACATGGGCATATGAGGGAACTCAGACAGGGTTCCAAATGTGGGGATGGAGTCAAGAGGCAAAGATCCTAGTCACAGCTCTGCCCCTCACTGGTCGAGTGACCTTGAGTGAATCATTGACTTTGTGAGCTTGCTTCCTGTCTGTGCAATGTCAACAATGTTTTCCATGTGGAAAGGTTACTGTGAAGATAACAGAGAGAGCATGTGTGTGAAAGCATGTCATAAAGTGGGGCTGATACAGGGACCCAGAGAACCCTGTTGCAAAGCAGGGTACAGGGAGAGCTGGGGAGTCACAGGAAGGAGAGGGCTCATCTAAGTGAAGACCAACGATCCAGCTTCATGGAGGAGCTCGCAGTTGAGACCTCCACACAGACAGAGGCATTCCCCCAGAAGGAACAGCGTGAGCAAAGGTGGAGGTGGAGTAGGGTGCGTGAGGCTGTCCACTCCACCCCACCTGGTGGTGCTGTGTACCTGCCATTTCCAGTCCTGGAAATTTTTGCTTTCTGATGCCTGCAGTCCCCAACAAGAAGGGGTGGGAGTGGGGCTCACTGAGCCCTGAAGTCAGGCCTTAGAGGCAAAGGGAGGCAGGTACTGCTTGTTCACACACTGACCTCACCTGCTCTGCCCCGCAGTTGTGAGGTGACCTGTCCCCGGGACACTGTTAGCTTCTCCTGCCCCAGCACCTCTCCTTGCCACAACGGGGGTATCTTCCAGGCCTCCCAGGGCTCCTGCAGCTGCCCACCTGGCTGGATGGTATGAAGGGTGGGGCCTGTTGAGGTAGGGTGGGAGTCTGGGGACAGTTCTGTGGGTGGTTCTCAATAGGGCTCTGAGTAGGGTATATTTGGGGTGGGTGGGCTCTGTGGGCCCTGGAGAGGTTTGAGGGCTCTTGGTATGGGAGTATCAAAGGGTCGTGTAACCATGGGGAGGGGGCAGGTGCCTGGGACTCTATTGACCTCTCACCCCACAGGGCACCATCTGTTCTCTGCCCTGTCCGGAGGGCTTCCATGGACCCAACTGCTCCCAGGAATGTCACTGTCACAACGGTGGCCTCTGCGATCGGTTCACTGGGCAGTGTCGCTGTGCTCCTGGCTACACGGGGCATGGGTGAGTAGCAGTGGCTGAGGGCAGGACCGGTGAGGGCAAGCCAAGAGGGGTAAACGTGGCCAGTCTCACTCAGCTGGGCACCCAGGTGCCGGGAGGAGTGCCCCGTGGGCCACTTTGGACAGGACTGTGCTGAGACGTGCGACTGCGCGCCCGGGGCCCGCTGCTTCCCAGCCAACGGGGCGTGTCTGTGCGAACACGGCTTCACCGGGGACCGCTGCACGGAGCGCCTCTGCCCCGACGGCCTCTTCGGCCTCAGCTGCCAGGTGCCCTGCACCTGCGACCCAGAGCACAGTCTCAGGTGGGCAGCGGGACTCTGGTCAAGGACTCAGGGGGTCAGTGGGAGAGGCCTTTGGTGCTGAAGCCGTTGGAGTCCTGAAAAGCACCATGGGCATATCCAAGGGTGGGACGGATGTCACAGAAGGGAAAAGAGGGGCCTTGGGGACGGGGAAATGGGGCGCTCTCGGAACAGCACCCAGCCCTTCGTTAGGGCCCTTTCACTCGGCAAGGCGGGCTGTCCCCTGCAAAGGGGTCTGGAGGTTGGCCCCCAGCTCAGAGCGCATCGCCCGCCTCTGCCCGCAGCTGCCACCCGATGAGCGGGGAGTGCTCGTGCCAGCCTGGCTGGGCCGGTCTTCACTGCAACGAGAGCTGCCCTCAGGACACGCACGGGCTGGGCTGCCGGGAGCACTGCCTCTGCCTGCACGGCGGCGTCTGCCAGCCCGACAGCGGCCTCTGCCGGTGCGCGCCCGGCTACTCGGTGAGGCGCGCGG